ACTGAACTGTAGAATAGCCTGATGATACAACGCATTTTTATGTTTTTGCAATGTTGATGCCTCTTTAAAGAGCTTGACGCTTTAGATATTTGGAGAAATGAACATTAACTGGGCAGACGAGTTTGAGAATAAAGGGTATACCATATCCTGCGTGTGTCTGCCCTGTAACGGACTGGTGTCCCATCCAGGGTGTGTCCTGCTCCACTGTGACCCTGAGTTGGCAAGAGGGTTTATAAAATGGATGGTTTGATGGATGGAAACACCATATCAATTAATCCGTATGAGTGGAACCACAAACACAAGAGCTGCAAATAATTTGATGTTGTAAGGACTCCATCCCTGTGGTCCGATTAACCTCTGTCACTCCTACATAACCCTCCCACAGGCCCGTCTCTCTCTTTGTCCTTCCAGATTGGGCAGCTACCCCTGCTGGTCTGCTCGTACCAGCACAAAGCAGCCAAAACGTCTCCAGACTGTCAAAGTGCCCTGCAGGACCACCCAGCCCACCAGCCAGGCCCCAGCTTGAGCCTGGTCCGCAGAAAAAAGTTAGTGCCCCCCCTGTGTTAGAAATTGATTTCATAGCTCTGTTTGCATTGATACACTTCTGTTTTGTGCTGAAAACCTGCTTTGTGATGGAAATCCCTCCTCTGCAAGTCTGCAAGGGAAATGCCAAACTCTCCTATGACACCAGCCATTTTCATTCATAGGTGACAAAGAGTCACTAGCCTTGATAAAAAATGGTGTCTGGAATGTTTGGTGTCAAAGAAACTGTAACGCAGCAATGATGCTGCTGATCGAGACGGTGAAGGGGCCCTGCACAATGAAGTCCGGTGCACGAGGAAGTGTAAGGAAGCAGGGATGAACAGTGACACGAGTTTCCCTTCTGTGCAGGAGCCAGGCGGAGACCGACGGCTATGCTGACCGCTTTCAGGTCATGAGGGATGCCAGGGCACAACAAGGGGGTCCCCCGCCCCAAAAGTCAAAGGGTAAAGTTGTCCCAACCGCTCCGCCCCTCCCAACACCCCCTGTCCAGGACATGGATACCCCAGCACCTCCTCCAGGGGCCGTGAGGAGGAGAGGTAATCATCTTGCCTGCATGTCAGAACCGATGCCTGTGCTTTGTTCATGGCTGGAAATGGATACAGCCGATGTTCCTATAAATTCCCTGCACAATGGCAATCCAAAGTTATGTCAGTGCTATTACAAAAATAGGTGCTTACCATGCAGCACAGTTTCTTGCATTTGATGTTTACAAGGAACAATGCCCAACCTACTTTGAAAACGATGGCACCTAGTGTGCAGGTTGATCTTGGCATGAGTGCTCTGTTGTTTGACAATACGTGGCTGTAGGTCTTGACAACACTCCTCTCCACAGGAGGCTGCTGAAGGTCAAGTCAGTGGCTGCCCCTTCTGAGATCCCTGACTTTTCCTTTGCAGTGGAGCAGACAGAGGGGCTCAGACCACTGGGTACACCACACCCTCGTCACATGACCCGGGAGATCGGACACCATGGCAACGCCTGATGCAGGCAGCTCAGTGACGACAGAGGTTCCAAATACACAGCTGGTCTGTGCTGCCTCAGTGCGACACTGACCACTCAAACCAATGCTTTTGGCATTTCCTTCCGGGATTTTATCTAGGAGTTCTAGCTAATGGAAAGTAAAGAATATTGTTAATTCAACCAATATTGACTTGTAATATACTAATTTGAGACAAAGATGAGGTTGTTGGGGGAGGAGAGTCCAGCATTTCCATTTGGTCATCACACACTGTATACCCGTCAGAAATCTGTTCTGTTTGCATAACTCTGTTCAATTATACTGTATTTCTTTGGAGAAAAAGACAGTAACCTGTTGGCAAATTCGCCCATTTCATTAATCACTGAGACTCAAGTGCAAGTACAGGTAACAGACTTGAGCTGCAGAAGGGGGTTTTATTTCACTGAAATTGTTTATTTAACCAGAGGCCAATCTGTAAAATAAATGTAACGAGCCAAATATATTGCAGCATCTCCCATTATTCACTTTGTACCTCTTTAGATTACAAAGATTACCTATTATTTCCATTATTTGCAATTTCAGTCCTTCTGTATTTTCCAAAACACATGGCTTATTATTTTTTAGAATTACTGAGACAGGGATAGTTTTGTCTTTCATTTCTTCTCTGCCAGGTCTGTTTCTGGGCAGCCCAGCCAGTATTTGGCGATGGATCTTGGGTACGGCGGCGTCACAGAGTCGATTCTCTTGGTCTGTAGGTTCACGCGGTAATATTGATCTAAAAACGAGCGAGAGAAAAAATCAGAGACAGAGTAGGTCTATTGTGAACCATGTAAATCAGATCCAAAAGAACTGGAGTTTTCTTCCACTTGGAATGAACTCTATTCCGAGACTTCTTTTCAAATATAAGTTGACAAAGCTTTGCAACCTTAACTTTTTACAAACATACAGGACTAGAACCCATGTATACTCATATAAAACGTGCTTATGTGATTTACAAATTACTAGAATATGACTAACTTAACCAAATCTTTTGATGAAACAGGTAAGAAAGGTAAGCAAAACGAAGCCCAAATTCGCCGCAAAGGCCCAAAACAAAACAATAAAAACGGCACGTGTGTCCTGTTCTTGATTCTTCCACAATGTGTGCTGTATGGACCCTAGGACACCCACACAAGCGACTCTTTGCTATACTTTCCCCATGGTGAGCGCACACATACATTTATAGCTACTTTCAATGTTGCAGATTGTTTGTTTTAAGGGGACAGCTGTGGTTTGTTAAGTGGCTGTGAACAGGAGTGGTATTGCTTGTGCTTGTTTCGGAGCACCGTACAGTACGGTTTGCCGAAGGGGTCGGTCAGTGTCTGCTGTAGCACTGACGCAGTCAGGAATGAAGGGGCTGACAAAGGAAGCTGCTCTTTCCCCTACCTTTAATGAAGAAGTAGATGCTCTGAACGGGCTGGCACTTGCTTAGCGCGTCGTAGGTGAAGTCCAGGGGGTCTAAGTCGTAGTTATAGTTGTCGGGCTCTTGCTGCCCCCTGCCTCTCTGCCTCGTCTGGTCCTGCCCGGTTTCCTCGTTCTGGCCGTAGTCTGGGAGCCAGAACTGATCCACTATGTCCCAGAAGGGAGAGCGGCTGAATCGGCCCCTCTGCTTCTGCCTCTGCCTCTGCCTCTGCTTCTGCCTCTGCCTCTGCCTGCCCCGTTTGTATTTGCCATTGCTTCTCCACTTGGATAGCGTCTTGGATTGGGCCTCCGGGCCCCTGGGGGTGACGTACAGCCGGCCGGCCATCACGGCGTCTATGGGGCCCGGGATCCCCCCCCAGTCCTTCTCGAGGGACCGCGGGCCAGAACTGCTGCTCTGCCCTGGGCGGGGGCCTGGAAGGACAGGGGAGCACGGGCTGGATACGCGAGCTGGTGGGTGGTTGAGCTGGCGGAGCTGTGGTGCACAGGGCTCTGCCATGTCTCCCCCTCCTGCCTCCCCTTCCTCCCGGACTCAGTGTCCCCCAGACCCCCCCCGCCCCCACTGCCCCCCTTAAACTCACACACACGCGCACACTCGCACGCACACTCGTAGGGTCCGCCTGTCTTACTGTTGTGGAAGAGGAAGCTGAAGAGGTCCTCGAAGCTGTCGATCTTCAGCGCAGTGTAGCGGGTGAAGAGTGTGGACGGGGCCATCCTGGAGCACTCCTCCTGGGACGGCTGTTGTCTGAACTCGTACTGGTAGTACTGGTCGCCTGAGTGGGGAGAGGGGATGGGGAAGGTAGCGGCTGCCTGTGCACAACCAGTTGGAATACGGCCTAATCCTGCAGAACCCTGAATGAGCCAGCTGGGCCGGGGAGGAACTCAATTCACAGAGTCTTCTAAATTACTCTTGCTTTTGACAATCAGACGCTACATAAAAAATGCTCAGGACTGTGATTCTCACAGGGCCAGAGTTGTACACCACTGTGTTCAAATCTCTGCCCCCAGGATAATTGGGACTTGCCAAATGTCCATCACTCATTCAATTTCGAGAGTTTGACAAAGCACATAAACAGATGTCGTACATTTATTAAATAACAAGACTGCTTGCTGTTCAAGTAGACTAAAGGTCTCACTTTTGTAGGGGAACTGGATGTAATTGTATAGTCAAATGTTGGACGATGTGAAAGGCCCACTTGATTCCTGGGCCCGTCAGGTGCTCTGAGGCCCAGAGAGAAGCGGTGCTGCTCCGTTGCCTGATCTAGTCGGATGAGGTGACCCGCAGGGAGCTCGGCCTGTGCCGACGCCCCTAGGGCAGGGCAGGGCGGCCCAGGGAGCTGGTGTAGGAGCAGGGGGAGGAGGTACCTTTGAAGAAGTAGACCTTCTCTCTGCTGTAGTAGTTGGCAGCGGGGAGGGCGAAGGCGCCGTCCACATCCTCGGGAATGTTGGCGAACCCCACGGAGATCTCCCGCGGGTAGTCTGGGTCCAGGAAGCCGTCGTCAAACCGCCAGTACTTGCTGCCCTGATTTAGAGAACAGCCGAGCACTGACTCCTCCAAGTGTGACCCACGCCCTGGGGCAGGAGTGTCTGTTCTTGCACTCTAAGGCAGTCCTGGTTCTGGAGGGCTGGTATGTCCGCGGGCTTTCATCCCAGCTGGACTCGTTAACGAGATAAACCAGCCAGCATCTGGCTTAATCGGGCCCGTTTAACAGCTTCTCCCGGCACTTGGGACGCAGGTGCTTGAAAGAGACCTAGAAGCCCCAGAGACACACAGTGTCCCCCCAGGATCAGGACTGGACACCAGTGGTGTAAGGAAACTGCCATCCAACGTCAATTTAAACTGCACTATCTGGTTAGAGAACGGATGGAGCGAACCTTGAAGATGTAGCTCTTGCCCTGGCAGTTGATGCGGGTGAAGGCGGCATCGATGGGCCCCTCGATGCCCCACACGTCCTTGATGAGCTTGGGGTACCCCGGCCTCACCTCCTTCTCATCCAGCTCGTAGAAATGCTCCCCTGGCAGAGCAGACACACCCACACCCGTCACACCCACGGGCTCATCGTGAGGGGTGCCGGGCACCAACCTGTACGTGGATCATCTCTAGACATTCAGGAACTCTAGAGGTGGCAGAGCCAGAAGTAGGAAAACAACACCAAAGTTCTACAAGGGACTCGGCTTTTACTGTAGAAGGTGCAAACCACACTGAGGGCGCAGTTCAGGGTCTCTGTTATTGGCACTCTCTTGGTATTGACTGATTAAAGCACCTTGGTCTTGCCAATGGGTTCACATCTACTGGCTTTGACTGAATTTGTATTTTGTACAGGGGCATTCACTCTGCTAACCTTTAAAAGGATAATCTCAAGGCGATCTTGAGCAAGATTTGACTACAAGATCCACCTTTGGTCCTGCCACACTCCTTGGGGATCTGCCACTGGCTACGCTGCTTCTGTCTCGATGTAAAGAGGCACAGGGCAGGGTGCCAGTGAAGCTGACCCCCACACCCCCATGCCCCCTCTCTCTCACCTCGGAAAGCAAAGATGGAGCCATTCTTGAGCTGCATGAAGGCGTCGAATGGCTTCCCGCTGCAGGTCTCGGATCCGGGGCCCGGCGGGCTGGGATCGGTGGGGGGGGGCTTTGTTTCCGGCTTGCTCTCCATGTGCATCGCTGTGGGTGCAGGCTTGATGGTGTTGGGGTTCAGGAGGCCCCCAGACTCCTCCGGCTTGGCAGAAACCGTGTCGTTGCTGTAGTCGTCATATTCGTCTTCCGGGACTTGAAACACGTCTCCGCGGACCACTGGCCCGAAGACAGAAGGACATTCCCAGTTAGCGTTTCAACCCCAGTCTTCCCCAGCCCTGCTGTTAGTGGGATTTGAAGTTCTCCTTTTGTGCTCAAAGATCAGAGCCTGGATGTATTTTCCCTACTCTGGTGAGGATTTTGTCCAGAATTCTGGTTATTTGTCTGTGATGTTTTCACCCATGTGCTCTGTGTAGGTTACCTTAATCTACACAGGTTTAGTGAGGTTGTAGTGTAAGAATGTTGGTGTTGTTTTTAATAGTGAATAACAATCGTAGCATTGAAGAAGTCTTATTGGATCACCTTTTGGGCGGCAGACAGTGTCATAATCGATGCAACAGCTCTGGTAGTACTTGCACATGGAGTCACACTGGCATTTCTTCTTGGCATCAAAACCACCATCACAGCGCCCCACGCAGGTCTCTGGAGGGAGAGACCAGACAGGAGAATGAAGAGCAGTCAGACACACAGGCCTGTTTCTCTTTAACTCTGTTACTCCTGATGAAAACACTACTGTGGTGTCCCCTACAGCAGAAGCCCACTCCTGATGGAAGTGGCACAGTGCAATCGTGTTAAAAGCGTGGTAAAGCACAGGGAGAAAAGGCAGATCATGGGAAGGGACACCCAAATGGAGTAAAAGCATGGTAAAGCAATGTCTGCAAATCTGCACAGGGGTGCACAACTGCAGCCCCACAAGTCTCTGTATATCTGCTACAGGTGAAGAACTGGAGACAATAATTCCATCATTTAGATCTCCAAAAGCTGGAGAAAAACGAAAACCCTCAGAACTGGAGCCGTGCCAACAACTTTCATACATAGCCATTTCACAAACAGGTCTGTTTTAAAGCTAATGCTGTGTTTTGAAAAGGAAAAAAAAACCCCAACAACTTACCAAATCGACTTACTTAAAACACAGCGGGTCCCTGCCTCACTGCCAAGCCAAGTCAACTACTGCCACACTGCAATCAGCTATCAAAGCACAGGGAGCAACACTCTCTAGCCCATAGTGCAGCAGCGCTCCGACTCACGGAGTTAACCTGCAGATTGGAGAGGGCTTTCCAGAGCAGGGAAAGGAGAGCCACGGTAATGATGTCTTATCTTAAATCTGAGAGCGGGGAAAAAAAAGAAGAAGAAGAGGCGAAAGTAGTAGGAAAGAGAAAAGAGCCATCTCGCTGCTTGTTCTTTTCACGTCTCCGCGTTAGCGAGCGCCCCACGTTAAAGCAGCGGAGCCGGTCTGGAGACGACATCTGCTAACCGCCGCCCTACCTTCCACCGCCAGGGCAGTGGCCAGTACAGCCGCCAGCAGGACCGTCCCGAGCTGCATGCCGTCGGCCTGCGAGTCTGAAGGCAGGAGCGGGGCTCAGCGCTGTCTTCTGCAGACCGAGACCACGGGGCTCCAAAGTCCTTCACCTCCATCTGTTTGCTCTGCCCTGTTTTTGAACATTTCGGAGAATTAATCATTCACCAGAGAGAGAGAGCCCCCCGGGACGCGCACTTGGTGTGTCCCAGCGTCAGGTTTAAAAACCCATTTACCTTTGCTGTGTCTCGGCTTAATTGACTTGCCCGTGAGTACATTTCCTTAGAATACCAAGTAATGGTATCCATTTAGGAAGTGCTATTTTTAGAAAAACATGGAATTAAACAGCCAGCGGCAGAGGTTATGTGATGTGCCTGGGTAGCTCATAACAGCAAAACTCCTGTTTTGGAAACTTACTAGGTGGCAATACATGAGAAAATATCAATATGTAGAATCAATTGATAATCCACAGCGCAGAGGCTGTTACACTGGAGGTAGGGAGGCTGTAATGGAATCCTTTCATGTAAAGAGAAAAGTACTAATGTTCTGACAACATCTCTCTCGGCTGTTTCCAGCTCTGCAGTCCCTGTTTATGTGCTGTCTTAGGAATATTGATGCAGCTGGTCATGAGATCACCAATCCTTAATAGCAGCTATAATACATAGAATAATACATCTCTGATAAAACACTTGATTGATAGCCTCAGCTCTAGTCATGACTGATTGATGGAAGGCTATGTGTCTTGAGAGGACAGTGCAATCATTTGCTTTTCATATATAATTTTTTTCTGTGGTTGAAGGTAGAATTTTAGGAAATCCTGTTAATTATTAAACCTTGGTGTGTGTTGACCATCTAGCTACTGTACCCTTGTACTTTCTAAGTACACAATGGTAATCGGTCCCATAATCAAGGTCAGTCTATTAAAATCAAACCAAAGTGGTACCTCTGTTTGGGTGACATAAACTATGTGAACTTCTCCTGAATTCTTTAGCAATCCAGATGGTGAGCCGCCTTTGCTCTTATTTATTGATGTCCTGGATCTTACGATTGACAGCGTTTCATTGCTGTAAAATGTTTTACATACGTATTACGTCTAACTCTGCATTAACAGTAAGAAGAATGTGCGCATGTGTATGCATCTAGCTTTAAATAGGTTTAAAGTTAAAAACATTTGAGTGGTAACTGTTAAGTCAGATTGAATCAATGAAATACCCCACAGGCAACATTGGGACTGAGTACCACCACAGAGCAGTAGATAAGCCTAGTTCCCTCTGCAGACACAGCTGGTATACCTTGAGTCAGGCTGTTTGCCCCAGTAGCTCCAGTCCACCCAGCTGTATGTGGGAGGGCAATGCTGCTCAGGTGTTGTGGGGGTGGGGGGTGGGGTGTCATAGGTTCTCAACCAATTTAAAGCTACAGTAACCAACAGGGATGATCTCAGGCCTGATGAGCCACTGGGCTCGGGAGTATACTTTGTCAAGCAAAATTATTTAGTGACTTTATTCTGTGAGGTTGGCCGTTCATATATTCTTTTAGCAGAACATGTTTGCTTCTCATTGCAAAGCCGCCGAAAAAAAACATTTTAATATACATATCAGACTTCCATATTCCATATTGTGCGGATCAAGGCTGCATTTTGGTACGTGTTTATCTGTTTTCTGGGTTTATCACTTTGTCACTTTGTGACAAGCGCCGGGCACTACAGGGGCGAGTAAGAAAAATATACAGAAAGACGTCTTGCACAGAGACAGTCGGTCACTTTACTGCCCTTATAGCGTCGCAGCGTAGCTGTTTAAACTAATTCCTAGTAGGCAAAACCCTAGAGCATCCCTAGACCTCTGTGTTGTACGGGCACCGGTGCTGACCACGGTTCTGATGCTGCCGTGATCTCTTTCTCCACTAGGGGGAGTGCGAGAGCGACTCAGTCAACCAGTCCGAGTAAGGCTAGAAACGTCTTCTCATAAGATGCTCAGCTCTCAGCGGGGGGGGGGGCAGACAAAGAGGAGGCCTCTTATTTCGGAAGCAGGAAGCTGTACCGTGTCTTTGGGGTGAACCCTGATAACCGAAAAGGCAGGGGGAGAAAAAAAGCTTTCGTTTTGCTGCGATACAGCGATGAACGCGGATTCATGACAAAGCAGGAAAATGGAGTCAACGCTCTGGTTTAAATTGTAGCTAAATAACACAAGTCAGCGCCTCTGCATAACGTCGCTTCTGTGTGGCTGTTTCGTTTCCCGTTGCGGGGTTCCCCGTTGTGTCGCTGGTATGACATCACGGTCGTGTTAAAATAACAAGCACGCACGCTGTTGTCGGAGCCAACATTGTTTTTGTCACAATTTGAATTGAATCTGAAGGTCGTTGCTGCATGCGAGGGAGACATCTTTTGAGACATAAAAGATGCAAGCAGAGTAAGTTTTTTTTTTCCTCCTCCTCTTCCTCCTGACGACTGATTCCGTATTTTGACTGCAGGCGGATGATGCAGCGTGGGGATATATGCAGGAGAAAGCGTTGCTCTGATATCAGCACCGCCTCTGAGATTCATCATCAGGAATAAGGATAAGTCCGAGACAGCGGTTTAACGCTTAAGCAAAGATAACGAAACGTCCTCCCGCAATATAGCCTCTGCGTGTATGAAACGACGTGTAAAAGTCATAAAATTTACATGCATTTTTTTCCTCCTGCATACATGTCTTTCTGGGAGTTTAAAAAGGTATGATAAGGGGCTGTCAACGCCTCGAAGAGCTTCGGTGAGGACATCTTGCCCGGGGGATTAGTCGTAGATGCTCGTATCCCTCCTCCTTTCTCTCTACAAACTCTGCAGATTGTTCTCCATGTCCAGCTCCGACAGACTAACGGTCCCAGAACGCGTGACCCGGTTCCAGAACCGCGGGACCGCCCCGGACCCGAAGGCGGTGTCGCCGGGTCTCAGCGCCGACGTCCAGCAGGCTCTGGACAGCTCCCTGCCCGCGCTCAGTGCGGCGATCCAGACCCTGAAGGCGGCCAGAGAGCGCTCGGACCCCGATGAGACCCGACGGGCTGTCGCCGAGATCTTTCGGCTGGTGGAGGAGGCCTGGGTCCTGCCCACCATCGGGCGACTTGTGGCCGAGCAGATCTGCAACCGCGTCCGGCTGGAGGGCGGGCTGGAGCTGATTCTGCAGCTGCTACAGGCGCCCGAGGTGGAGGTCCGATACGAGTCCGCCCAGCTGCTGGAGCAGATCCTGGTGTCCGAGAACAGGTGAACACGGAGGCCGCGGTCCCGTACACACAGCGGGCGTGAGGTCACTTCGCTCTGACCCACAGTTCGGTGGAGCTTCGCAGTCGGCTTTCTCTCGCCTGTTAAATAATGGCGTGACAACGATAAGGACTTAACTATTTTAAAGTGCGGACATTTCAGAATTCTAAAAGTTAAGGTACAGACACAGCCAGCTTAATTCCACCTGTCTTACTTTGAGGCTCGTTTTGAAGGAACAGTAAACTCTTTGATTAGGAGCTCTGGTGCTCAGCGTTTCTATACCAGTAGAGGTGTCGTTTTGAGTTGGGGTATTGTTTTCCTCAGTTCAGCAGTATCAGGTGAGCAATTCTGTAGCAGCAGAGTAAGACTATATTCGTGTATTGATTGATGGAAATAAGGCTCCAGGTGCACAGCAATGTGAACTGCAATCACATTTTCCAAGCTGCAGACTCCTGTGGAGGATATACCAATGATGTAAATGAGTTTTTTTTTAAATTATCTGAACGATTCAGCTTTTGAATAGCTAATGGACAGTTCTGACTGTGTAAACCTGTTGTGCCCAGTTTGGGATTAAACACAAGAGCCCCGGGCTGTACATCTGAAACAGTTCACACTGCTGAGTGATGGGAGTCTGATTGCAGTCCTCGCCCTTTCCATGTGCAATGGTCTGCCTTTCACTGCAAGATGACACCTCACTCCACACTGTCTCTGGGGCTGGCTTTGAGTTAATTCCTGTGGGCTCAGGGGCTGTTTCAAGGGCAACTGCTGCAGAGCTGACCTGCAGTGAACTTTGCAGGTCTTGGTAAATTCTGGCCTGAGTCATTTGTGATCTGGTGCTGTAAGACGCCGATGCCCAGTTCTCAGGAAGGCGAGAGGAAAATCTCAGTCACTTACTTGGAAAGAGCCTTTCCTTGTCTCTGTCATTACAGCTGGTTAGGTTGAAGTGAAGCAGGGCTGTCAGTCCACTGAGAGAGAAGGATTTGTAACTATTACACGGGTTTAAGTGTAGGGCCGTCTCTGCTTAAAACACATGCAAAGCACTGGGACTGCTGAGTGAACCTGCAATGCATTAATCTCATAAAACCGCAAAGACAAATAAACAGGCAGATAGAAACACCAGGCGTCACCTGCAACACTACTTCCATACTTCTATAGGGATTTATAGGTGCAAAGAAAGATCTTAAAACCAGCTGATTTTTCTCTGGCACTTGAGTAATAGACATGCAATACTGGCTGCATGCATATGTCTTTCAAATCGCAGCTCTGGCCTTCCCTAGACACGCAGGCCACCAATTTAATTATTTTTAAAAATCAGCCCCGTTAGACCCCAGAGGAATGACCGCTCGGCGTTTTGTGGTTTTGAGCGCGAGGCTGCCTTCTCCCATTCAATCTTTAAGAGCCGAGGTGGAACATGCAGTAAATGAACAGAGATCCGAAATCCGTCTGCACAGAAAGGAAGGGATCTGGAGGCTTGTGGGTGGAAGGGGGGGGCCCGTTGCCGGTTTGTCCTCCGGCCTGAGCTGCTCTCTGTCCCACGCAGGGACTACGTGGCCCGGATGGGGCTGGGCGTGATCCTCAACCTGACCCGGGAGCAGGGGAACACCCAGCTGGCCCGCAGCGTCTCGGGGATCTTGGAGCACATGTTCAAGCACACGGAGGAGACCTGCGCCCAGCTCATTGGCAACGGGGCCCTGGACGCCCTGCTCTTCTGGTGCCGGGGCAAGGACCCCACCGTGCTGCGGCACTGTGCCGTCGCGCTGGCCAACTGCGCCATGTGCGGCGGCCACAACTGCCAGCGCCTGATGATCGAGAAGCAGGCCGCCGACTGGCTCTTCCCCCTGGCCTTCTCCAAGGAGGACGAGCTGATCCGCTTCTACGCCTGCCTGGCTGTGGCCGTGCTGGCCACCAACAGGGAGATCGAGAAGGAGGTGGTGAAGTCGGGCACCCTGGAGCTGGTGGAGCCCTTCATCGCCTCGCTGGACCCGGACGAGTTCGCCCGCAGCCTGCTGGACAGCTCGGACAACATGCAGGGCCGCAACGCCGCCGACCTGCAGCACCTGCTGCCCCTGCTGGACGGCTCCCGCCTGGAGGCGAAGTGCATCGCTGCCTTCTACATGTGCGTGGAGTCAAGCATCAAGTCCCGCCACCGCAACACCAAGGTAGGCCCGCCAGACAGACCCACGCCAAACTGGACTGCAGTCCCAGTTTCCCAGACTGGTTCTTAAACATCAGGAACAGAATACATTCATTGGCGGTATTGACAAATTGTACCTATCGCAAAGGGCGAATTCCGAATTACTCACAAAATCGGGAACTTCCTGGAAGTACTGTATGGTTGCCATGTTGTCGACAAACAGCTCTGGTCTCGCCGCGACGAGCACGAGCAAGAGTTTCCGAGAATGGGGACGGGGTGCGGCCCTTCCTGCTCGCTGTCCCCGTGATGACGAATGTAATGCGATGTACAAGAGAATGAGTACAGGTTGTGCAGCAGACATTTCACTGCAGAAAGGTCCAACGTGATCTGCAGGCAGTGTCAACAGGTTCCATTTATCAGCGACTGGAAGTCGAGAGCAGAATGTCGATTGGATTAAAAGCGATATATTCACAAGCCTGCTTGTTTACAATGTCATAGAACCGTTTCACCTCACCGGAAGATCTGTTGCTCCGTTCTGACTTGCAGAGAATTACAGCAATATGGCGCGGCTCAGACCTGGAAGTTTTATCTGTTTTGTCATGTAAATTGTATTTGTTTTACAAGTTACAGTGTACATTTTACGTTCATTGTGGTTTGAAATGCGCTCATTAATGCCGATTCTTTCTAATCCCGAAGTATGAAAATAGCATTGCAGTTCCCCTTTAATGCTAACAAGCCTTTGAATGGCCAGCAGCTGCTCTTACAGCTTGTACAACCGTTTTGAAAGCCACTGAGCTCCAGGTCACACAGTTTAGCTACTCTGTTGTCTTTTTAAAAGCTGAAGTTATACTCGTACACCAGAGGAGCTAGATGGGTCACACAGCCTCCTCTCATTTCCAGACTTGATTTCTGACGTTCTTATAGAAATCTGGATGCTGCCGTTGGTCTCGAGATGCCCGGTTCACCCGCGGCCTGTGTCTCTTAGATATTCCAGGAGATCGGCGCGGTGCAGAGCCTGAAGAGGATCGTCATGTACTCCAGCAATGGCACCACCTGTTCTCTGGCTAAGCGGGCGCTGATGATGATGGGAGAGAACATCCCTCGCCACATCCTCTCCTCGGTGCCCAACTGGAAAACCTGCGAGGTTCAGACCTGGCTCCAGCAGATCGGCTTCACTGCCTACGCCGAGTCCTTCCAGGTGAGCAAGAGCGTGGCTGTTACCAGTGGGGTACATCCTCTGCACTTCAGTGGAGGGTGTGTGTGTTACTCCATGGTCTCCACGCACACCTGCATTGCACCGCGCCATTGGCCACGCAAGGTGTTTCACTGCCGGGACCCAAGTGCTGCTGGGATTGAGCCCAGATTGCTGAGTTCCGTGCAGTTTGGCTGAGATTGATGGAATACAAATTGAATGCAATGCCGTTGAATTCATTGGGTTCGAAGTTCAATCTTTCTATGTCTCAGGAGATGCAGGTGGATGGGGACCTTCTTCTCAACATCACTGAACAGGACCTGCTTGCCGATCTGGGCATGACGGCAGGACTCGTTCGGAAGAGGTCAGTGGGGCAGATGTCAGTACTTCTTAAGAACACCCAGCATGCTCTGCAGCTGGAACCCCCAGCGGTAGCCATTTTGGATAGACAGGCTTGTCCGCAGTTAGAACGTCTTCCTGGTAGAGCACACTGACTTTGTGGTTGGTCACCCATACCTCAAAGATTGTGATGAATGAATTGTTGTTTGCTTGTAAACAGCTATTTAAAGCTCTGCGGATTATTCAGCCATAAATTCAAAAACATGATTATCCGGACTGCAGGCATGTATCTTTTTCTCACCTGCAGTAGCTCGTGTATTTCGTTCGGAATAATCTTTTTGGATGGCGATCCGTTATCCCTTTATCACCTTCTTGTGTCCATTAAAACAATTTAGCGTTGAAGGAGATGAAAGAACTGTGTACTGAGCACTAGAACAATACAATTGTACGAATGACCTGTCACACCACTGAAACCGATGGCATCCCCTTGTTTTTTCACGTTTTGCTCTTCATTTCTGGCCTGACCTGTAGGTTCTTCAGAGAGCTTCGTGTGCTAAAGACTTACGCCAATTACTCGACCTGCGACCCCAGTAACCTGGCGGACTGGCTTGGGGAGGTGGACCCGCGGTTCCGCCAGTACACCTACAGCCTGGCGCAGTGCGGAGTGGACCGGAACAGCCTGCTGCAAATTACTGACCAGCAGCTTCAGACCGATTGCCAGATTGAGAATGGTGTCCACCGGGCCAAGATCCTGGCTTCTGCCAAAGGTACCAGGACTGGGGGGAGGGAAAGCAGAGGATTTGAGAGGGTAGAACCATGTGGGTCATACATAGATGCAAATACTTATATGGATTGCTCTAAAAGAGCACAGCCCGCTCATCAAAGCTTAGTAGTTCTGGCTCATTAATCTGACCATTGCATGCGCCAAACCACCAATTAAATAGGTTTACTAGTGTAAATCTGTTCATCTGATTGCACACACTATGCATCACAAAAATTCAAGTTGTTGTTATGATTCAGACATTGTATTGCTGGCACTGCCCAGGCCCATATCTAATGTGGGGGTGTGTTAATGTCTTGGAACTTGCTGTTATGCTCGCCTCTCTGGGTCGCCACAACCATGTGTTGTCCTGCAGGTCTTCTGAGACCAGCCCAGCCCTGCAGCGCCCCCGACTTCCAGCCCGATGGACCTGACGTCTTCATTAGCTACCGACGCACCACTGGGTCCCAGCTGGCCAGGTGAGCACAAAGACAGGTAGAGAGAGCACAGGGAACCAGCTGGCCAGGTGAGCACATAGACTTTTTTTTGCAGCTCAACCCGCATCTTATCACCCTCTTTAAATCCCATTATCTCACCTTTCACACCTTCTGTAGACGGACCTTCAGAGGTGCTCTGAGACCTGCACCCGAGCTTCAGTGTATCACCACACTTGAGCTCAGCAAAATAGCAGCTGCAGCATCCAATACCCAATCCAGTTTGGCTCTTCAATGGGTTCTGAAGGTCTCTTTCAGGCACCTTAGGAAGACTTGTGAAAATTCTTAATTGGACCTGTTAAACAAGATTCTGTTGTTCAGTGGGATCACAGACCAGTACCCTGGTGTGTGTCTGTAAGCCTGCTGAGGAGCATCTCTGCTGCAGAGAAAGCAGTGACTACGTTCTGTGGTCAGGTTCTGGCTTGAGGTTGGATATATGAGCCCAACCTAAATTCAGCTCGGCCAGTGCCTTTGACCCCCTTGACCACCCCTCTCTCCAGCCTGCTGAAGGTCCACCTGCAGGTACGGGGATTCAGCGTGTTCATCGACGTGGAGAAGCTGGAGGCCGGCAAGTTCGAGGAGAAGCTGATCCAGAGCGTGCAGCGGGCGCGCAACTTCATCCTGGTGCTGTCGGCCAACGCGCTGGACAAGTGCATGGGCGACCACGACACCAAGGACTGGGTGCACAAGGTGAGGGCAAGGCTGGCGGAGACGAGCTGTCTTCCCTCGCCAGGGAAGGAGGATGGTAAACAGATGGAGGGGGGAGAGGGAGCATTCGAATCCGAAAGTTTCAAGCTGGATTTCCATTACGTTGTAGCAAGAGTCTGCAAACCTGTACCTGGGTTCTGTGCCTACGGGTCCTGCAGCATTTGAGGGAAACCAACGATCAGAGGCCTAGAGAATGCATGCCAGCTTGCACAGAATACGCATTTAGTCAGCCAAATGAAACAATTTAAGTCATGCATATTTAGTTATGAGCAAGGACCAGGAAAACCTTTGGCCTCCCAGAGTCAGGGTTGTAGATCAGAGGTCAATGGAGAAGGAGAAGTATGAGTAATTTTTTTGTAAATTGTTTGAATGCAAAAATAGCTGGCAGGGACACCCCACCCCCAGGAAGATGGGGGGGAAAAAATGGCAAAACCATTGCTTTTTCTCCAGTATTGCTTGAAAGGGAGCAGAGCCCTGCAGTTGTTCTCACGTGTGGTTTTTTGAGCGCTGTTGCTTTCTCCAGCGTTTCCTGCAAGCCCGTTTAAACAGGCCCTTGAACCTCGCAGGAGATCGTCACCGCCCTGAACTGCAAGAAGAATATCGTGCCCGTCACCGATCAGTTCGTGTGGCCCGAGCCCAGCTCCCTGCCCGACGACATGAGCGCCATCCTGAACTTCAACGGAATCAAGTGAGTCAGCTGCTACACTGAACAGCCGTTCGCAGTGTGATGTCCGTGGAGAAATAACCTGGGGTCTGCTTTCGAGAGCCGGTGTTAAGGATCTAATCCCTAAATTTGTGCCTTTTCTGTTGAAGGTCTCGTCAGCATAATTACTAGAACCTAAGTTGACACATGAAGGATCAGATAAGGATAAGACACGTTTTCTTACATATAGTGTATGGACAAAAAATTGTTCTATGCTCAAATCTCTCTGCTGGGCCCTATATAAATGTATTCTCAACAACAGCTTCCTATATATCCTCTGAGTCTTAGAAAAATGGTCGTAGTTTGTATACTTGGAATAAGCCGTTTTCTCTGTAACCTGACTTACCTATTTAATAAACTCAGCCCATGTACCAAGAAGCATCCTACAAACACTCCTAACACTTATGTCATCGACCCCTCACCACTTTCTCCCTGTAGGTGGTCTCACGAATACCAAGAAGCCACGATTGAGAAGATCCTGCGCTTCCTGAAAGGCCGCCCAAGTCAAGATATGTCCAGCTTTCCAGAGAGCCTCCAGGGGAATTCGGGGCCACATCACGGATAGCCAGAGGTTAAGGGGTGGGAGGTGTTATTTTGTGACCTGGAAAATGGGATTTTCCCCACAGAGCAAGACGCAGAGCCAAAGAGAGGCCCTGCCGCAAATGTGACCCCTGACATTTCTCTCGCTCCCCCTGCCTGTACATCCCTTTACCCAGCATTCCCTGCGCCTTGCACTGATTGGCCAGCCTGTTCCTACCTCCTGCGGATGCGACACTGTGCACAAGTGCTGTTTACCCTTAGAGAGAAAGGCAGTAGCCAGGAAAGTTTTATATTTTGAGAATTTGCAACCTGTGTTGCCACTCTCTTGAAGATACCCCCCCTCTACTTGAGACAGAAGTTGATCAAGGCCAGGTCAGCATGTTATTGAACTTCATCGATTTTTCTTTGAAATATATGTTTACATGGAGTACCAAGGGTAGAGTGGCTTAGAGATTTGCTGAGGAACTGGGACTTGAGGACGCTCTCCCTAGTGGTCACTCCAGCCTTGACAGTTTGTAAAGGAAGAGCTGCTCGTCTCTCAGGTATGACAACACTGCGGCGTCCCTGGTGTGGACCTTACCAAGCGTGAAAACGTAGTCACAGGCTGACCCTGAGGATGAGAACGATCCTTTCCCATGAGCCTCGGACCCAGGTGTCCCTCTTTCCTTAACTCCTGCTCTCTGTAAGGAAATCTCATTCGCTTGATACTAATCTACACCACAACACACTCCTCCAATAACTGCTGTAAGTGTAAAAAACACAAAACTGGCAACAACCTTTTATTAATTTGATACTATGCTTGTTTTATGCCTCTTTTTTATATAATCAGAAACATCCTTTGTACTTTTTTGGACTCTTTTGACCGCTTTGGTTCTGAGCCATGTGCAGTGTTTTATTGAAACGGTGGGAGAAAAGCAGAACCAAACCTCAGAGCTTCTTGGACAAACAACAGTGTCTCTTTCCTCATGGAACTTGAGCTGTGACTCAAGTGCATGCTTGAAATCCGTTTAACATGTTAGACACTGTCTAACATTATACAGAAGTGTGCACATAAGGCAAAAACAGCAGACGTTCTGATTAAACAGTCCAAAACTCAGTCGTTATTCTCAGGCAATCTTAAGTGTAGCTATTAGTATTACCATCACAAAGATCTTTGGAATGTGTGTCCCAAAATGCAACACTTAGCTATGTAACTTATTTGACTCTCTGATTCATTCTCCAATTGCATACTACAGCAGCCTGCTCAGTGTGAGTGACGTACTGTAAATCCTTGTTCAGAAACACAAATTGCCTTACTTTTCCACAGTCAAGCTGCAGTTTAAGAAATGAAAGTGGGCACCTAAATAGTAGTCAGTCAGTGCTAGCCAGCCTTTATCCTGTGAGATATTTAGCATGGATCTGTTTGCTTGCACTAAATCCCCTTTAGAAAATGCTGCAGTAAGAACGTTTGAGATAGGGCCAAGCTCTGCAAAGGTGTCTAACCAGGTGACTGATTTATCTTTACTATATTAAAGCTACTGTATAAAGCATTGAACTGCTTGGCATTATAATCCAAGAGCCCCGCAGATATCGCTGAGTAGCCAAACAGAAGCCTTTCTTCCTGTATGGGACTATAGACTACTTAAGGTTTTGGCACTGCAACCATACAGCTACTATCAGTGCCCACATAGCAATTCCCATATGCTTTTTATATTAACTAGTGCAGCATCCTAAACATTGCTCTAGTAACTATCCGTGATGTAAAAAAAAAAAACACCCTTTTAAAAGAATTCAGAGCAATATTCACATAAGCTGATCTAGTGATGATGTTTTTTTTTTAAATAAGATGAAGATCAGACGCGTTTGATAGTGATTTCTACCCCTCTGTGTAAGTCTGGAATACATGAACAAGGGGTGCCTCAAAGGTTTAATCCTTACTGTGTAACAGGTCAGGAAGGATTGCAGTCAGATTTCTCCCAGAGGCAGCAGCAGACTGACAGCAATCGTCTTTTGGTTCCTTGGTTCCATTTTAAATTCAAACCGGCCCGAGGGATTACAAACTCTCAGGTCATATGGAAGAATTTGACTTCCTAACGCTTTTCTTGGGTTGTGCAGTAAGCTGGGCAGAGGCAGCCCAAGATCTGTGCCAACAGGAGCTTTTAAACAGCTGGCGAACAGGCTGGCAGGCACTCTAGTGAGAACAGCGCCTTTCTCTCCTTTCTCTCAGTGTTGTAGCGTCAACGGCTTTATCCTTTACAGTCTTCCCTGTGGCCTTAAGTACTGTACGTATTCAATGTTAGAGTATAGATGAAAACTATTATATTAATGTGAATTCAGGAAATTCATTTTTTTTTATTTAGGTTCGGTCAACTGAACCATAATATGCAATAAATAAAATGAGCCTGCCAATTTGATTTTTAATGTTCACGTGTTTTCCAGAAAAACATACCGGAATGTTTCTTTTTCATGCTTTCCCCAGTTTGGGGAATTGTCAAATGCATTGAGAACTAATTGACGATCATTTAATCCGATTCTCATTGACTTCTCGGCCTAATCAGCTATATTGTAAGTTGTTAAAGGCTGTACGTTTTCCCAGAGAACTATGCAAATGCCCTGGTTCGACACACTCTTTGGTATCTGCTTTACAACCATCTTTTTTCCCTGTCGGTTACCGATTTGTGACGTGGGGGAGAGGATTAGGAAACATTCCGATTAGAGAGTTTCTTCACAGATCAATATTTCTAGGGTGAATCCCTGTGTAGTCTCATGGCCATGATAACAGGCCAGATAGCTTATCCAGACTCTGCCCTTTATTAACCAAAAAACCTGACATCCCTTGATATCACTTCATCTCAGGTTTAGGAATAAAACTTGATAACTGTTACTTATGTGCTCTTGTCCACTGAATTTTCTTTTAAAAAGTGAAACCACAAAATTTGATGGGTTTTAAAATTTCGGTGCCACTTATATAACGGGAAACGTTTTTTAAAAAGGCGATTACTCTTGCAGTAAGTTCTTTTGGTAACAATCTGTGCTGTATAATGGCTTCATAATCCTTTCCAAGCTGCTATACAAGATGTAATAGTCACAGGCATAAAACTTTATAGGGACAAGTGAAAATGACGTGTGCACGAGAGGTCATGGCATTCGTTTTAGGATCATTTATAACGTTTGGTATGATTCAAAGTTGAAAGAAATGTCATGATCTCTTATGAAGCCCCATGGAGAAGGGCTACACAGTCCTCAACTGCATTAAGAACGACCCCTGCTTTGGAAGAGACAGTAGATCCGATTAGGTTTAATTATTAATGAAGCGACATTCAAATCAAGTGTTACAGTTGCTCCCACTGGAAATACAGGAATCAGACACTTATTTCTATTTACAACACATCAAGAGTGACATTATACACAGGACTTTGTTCAAATAAGCAGGGCATGCTACATGCAGCACAGCCTGATGAATCTGCATATCTGGCTCAACGGTCATATCCAGACTGGAAAGGTTCTGTACTGAGAGGAAAACTCCGAACAGAAAAAGCAAGACCACCCTGCACTAGCCTGTAACTACTGAAGCAGGCCTCTGGACAACCCCAAGTGGTAGATTAGCTTTGAAATACTGAAATACTACCTAGCTTTGAAATACTGTACTACCCTTTTCCTTATGTTCCAGTTGAGGACTCCAGTGTGAGAAGTATTCTTTTTCACCTTGTGTGAAATTATCAGTGTCCGGGATGCGCAGACTGCTCAACCCACGTGCAGTACAGTGAATGTTATTGCTGATGTGACTGTAACAGTGACCCAGGCTTGGTTATGTGTTCACGAGTGACAGTGAGGCATTTAAAAGCTGCCATCCCTGCATGAGCTAAAAAGTAAGATGTTCAATATCCTTAGGCTAGACTCTCGCCAGGAACTTACCCGTCAAGTGCTGAATTACCTACTTACACTGTACATTCATGTATTCTATCGGTTCCTCTTTTTCTATTTCAATTAAAATAAGAAACAGAAACCTAGTGCCTTTTTCATTCTTACTTTTTATTGGGCATCTATATATCCACACTGATCAACAGTGAGGTGCATGAGTTATTTTAATTTTTTTGTGATGTAGTGTGGATGAATTAGAAGTAGTGTCTAAAACAACCAGTAGGGCACATATTCCCTTTGATAAAAGTGCTTAGGTAGCACGTGTGCCCAGTATGGGTGCAATCAATGCAGTCAGCGTGCAAAAGGAAAGTGGTGATTACAGCTCAACATTACATTAGTGACAGTATAATCTGAGATTCAAGAGGGCACGCTGAGAAATCAAGTACTGCCCGTCTCAAAGAATCTGAATCTGCATTTCAGATCATGATCTTATCAAATTAATTAACTAGCACCTGATGGATCAGTGCCCCAGAGGACTGGTTTCTCTTAAAGAAAGCTCAGTCTGGCCTATTGCCCTGAAGCAATAAAAAGGTTATTAAACTGTAAAACTTATGAGCTTTCACAATGCAATTGGATTCCTAAAGAGAGGCATCTCTCATTTCAAAGTCTCTCAACTGAATCTCTCATTTCAAACTTTGTAGACGGAAACTCAGAATTTCAGCTTTTGTAAACAATTTTCTCCAATTATTTTCTGTGCGGAGCTTTGAGTCATTCCCTTATCTTATTATTTTGCTTTTTCTTCACATTTGATGGGCTGGACATAGAGAGCATTGGCTGGCCTCACAGCCATGATGTCATCTTTGGCTGTGATGCCCGGTCAGCCTGAAGGGTCTGACATCACCTTGATCAGCTGCCCCCAGCCCGGGTCTGGAGGGACTCCTGTGAAGAATCTGATACATTCCGGCCGGCAGAGGATGTCAGACTGTCAGGACGTCCCTTGAAAGGTGTTGTAGTCACTTGTTTTCTCTCTGAGCTTCAAAGTCCTGCAGAGACACAATGATCAGCTACACACACTGTACACATACAAATTCAAACAGATAAAATTAACATACACGCACACATGCAGCTTGGGAAAGTTGTAAAAACACAAAATTTACTTTCCCTTGGAACTCTTGACATTGACCGTAGAACTAGCCCAGTTCAAAATACTACCTGGACCCTTAACTGCCCTGGATTCCAGTACTAAATTCCTCCAATATTATTCTTCAGGAGCACAAAAGTCATCTGAACACTATGTGAATTAGATCACGTTTGCTGTAAAGCAGAAGTAACTTTTGGCCTGAATTATTTATTTTGAGCTGGGAGTTGGGGCTTGGGCTCTGCTAGGGTTAGGAAAACCATAAGGCTGAGAGTAAAACTAGAGTTCTGGTTGTGTTTTAAATAGTTAACTTAAGTAAATGTGAGATCCAGGTCTTTGCCTGAAACTTAAGTACGCCCATTTTCAGATTTCTGTTGGGTGTAATACTAAATCTACCCCAAATACAAGCCCACTCAAAATGCAAGGTGCTCAGTTCTTTTGGTGGGTCTCAGCACAAGCACAGACACGTACAAAAAAAAGGGATCCAATACAAGAAAACTGAGAGATTCATGTATCGAAACGACAGTAAACGTTTCCTGGAATCCCACTTTGTTGATTTAGGAATAAGACAAATAAAGAGCGCGGAGCTCGATTAAGGCCATGGGGCCTGACGCATCCTACCCGATGATGGCAGCGGGGACGAGGAGCAGGCCCGCCCCAAACAGGAAGGGGAATCCTTTCAGGAAGTGCAGAGTGGCAGGATAAAGAGAGTTAAAGACCCCGTTGGACACCAGCATGCACAGGCTCTCCACGCAGGCCACCAGCGCAAACAGAGCCCCTAGCCAGAACACACAGAGCAGAAGGAATCACACACCCGGCTACGGCACTCATGTACAGCCCTGGGGTAAAACTACCACTCTGTTCCAGCCTGTTTTGCTGCTGCTATCTCTTAATTTATCACTTAAACTTAA